CTGATTGTTAAGTTTGTTTTGATTGATCAACTCTTTTTATGATTGGAGATAAATATATATCAGATGGTCTTTCACAACCTGTCAAATCATTGTTCCATTTCTATAATCTTTCACCAGGTAATGGGCATGATCTTGGTCATTTCTAGTTATCTTTAGCAAAAACAGTTATCTCTTTCGAAATGACATTTTTGGCTACGATTCTTGCAATATATTAGCTACTAAAAAAAAAATTCTCTTGTATGGGTAGTTGGTTCGTGGTTCAACTAACATGCACAATCATTTCACTCCCGAGTTGTTAACTTCGGACCAAAGAACCGGCATTAAGACACCAATTCTAGCCTACCTAAAATAGACCGAAATCAAAACTCATTATTAAGTACATCTTTTTGAAGTGCAATTTCTGATATTTTTTACATGATCAAGTGTCTAGTGCAGTTTTTTTTTTTGTTGCTTTTTAAAAATAAAAATAAAAATAGGAGACTTCCTGATGTTTGAGATTAAACTTTTTTCATTATTTTCATCAAAGTTATTAAGAAAATTATTAAATACTTGACGGAGATTAAAATCTTAACTTTTGGCAAACTTGCAAGACTCAAATTATTCAATGCATACTTAAAAGGACTATTTTGAATCTTTCTCAAACATAAGGGATCATTTTTGTCGCTTAAAAAATATTGTGTATTTCAGTTCTCCCTTAGCAATGTTCTACCCTGGAAAATTGTAGAAGAAAAGTGTTGAGAGAATTCATCAGAGAAATCCAATGTGGGAGTGTTTCACTCCTCAATGTGGGACTTTATTACGTCACGAATTCAAATTGGATCGGGATCAAACGTGGATACCGAACACTGGATGGGAAACAAAAAAATATATGTAGTACGACATGAAATGAATAAATAAGGGGATTTGGCCCTTAAGAACCAAAAAAATCAATGTTTTGTATTATGATTGGACCTGTCCTGAGAACAGACTCCATTCACAAAATATATGGAAGAATTATCACCACTCCTTTTTTATCCTTGTTTGATTTATGACATATGATTTATCCTTTTTTCAATTATGTTTTTTTCAAAAAATATAAAAACTTATTCAAGTTTATATTTTGTAAAAAAAACAAATCATTATTTTCAGTTTTACAAAAATAAACTCATGTTCGACGTGAATAGATTGTCCGTCGTATCATGTGAAAGAATTACTAGTTACTACTATTGTTGACTAGTGGATTTTTATAAGTTTATGTACATTTGAAAGTTAAAAGAAACATAAATATATGTAATTCATCGATGTGATGCTTTAGATATTATGATATCTTGTTTACGAACGATGATTTACTCATTCGATAAGATTGCATAAGAATTGATTTTCATAGTTTTCACAACTTGTGTATTTTCATATTTATGAGAAAAAATATAACTTCATGTCCGACCCAATACCCAACCATAAAATCCCTTAATTATATGGTAAGCAAGTATCATAGAAGTGTATAGCTTAAGTATGAAACTAACAAACCACATAAATTTTTGGGGGATTTTCCGAAAGAGTCATCTGGTGTGAAGTATGAAGTATAATAATTTTGAGATAAAATATAGAATTATTTTATCCTGCGTTTGGTTGGAGGCATATTAGGTACGTAGTCCTTGGATTATGTATCCCATCATTTATATCATAGTGATGGAATATATAATTAATTATGATCCCATATACATAATGAAATAACGTATTCCGGGATAATAACTCTCGAAACAACTTGTTCCAACCAAACAACCCCTAAAGAAAAAGGCAAATAATATAGGTGTATTATTGAGTCATTTTACAGCTACCACCTAAAGCAACTTGCTACTACAATTCATCTCTTGTTAGGTATAAGAATTATTAGAGAGAGAGAGCAGAAGACTCTTCCTTCTTCCTTCAAACCTTCATCCATTTTATTTCAATAAACTTTTTTCTTATTTCACCTATTACGTAAACTTGGAAATATATCTTTGTTGGAATCCAAATCTGAGAAATTGAAGATTCTTGTTTACTAACTGTAAGTCATCTTCTTCATGAATTACTTTTTTCCCATAGATACAGAATTAGAGAGTTGATTTCTCAAATGGTTCACTCAACTATTATTTAGTATCTCATAAAATTGAAAATGAAAGAAAGACGATTTTCTGAGATAATAATTAGTTAAGTGACATTTGACAATATGAAAATGGTACATAAGATGTATAACTTTCACAAGCATTAACATAGCTTCAAACACTAGATATTGAAAGACATGAACCTAATTCCATGAGTTGGTGAACTTGCAGGAATTTTTCTGCAGAAAATGAATGAAAATGAAATTGAGGAAATGTTAGATCACCTAAGAAGGATCAAAATTGAAGGTAACCTGAGTACCTACATGATTTGGGATATTCAGGATCTTGAAATTGTGCTAAGAGTTTTTAGAACCTTTATAAAGTATCATGTTCTTTTACCTGATTGTTT